AAACCTGACTTTCATCCACCGCTTTGTCCCCATATCTCCTATACCCCAGCCTCCTAATACTAGATGTCTAGGCTCAGACACTCTTCTTAGGCCCCTTTCACACAGCCGCTTCAGTGTCTGCCTGTCAGTTTTTCAGATGGACGCGATCGGATGCCTAATGTTAGTCTATGGGCAGCCATGTGTAAATGGACGGGTGTCCGTTTACACCCGGTTACCCCCGCCTCAGGCTGGGTCTGAAAATGCAAAAGTATCCACCGCTCCAATATCACTCCTGTGATGTACTACAATCTCATGTTTAGTTTACTAATTTGTATTGAAGTTATAGTCTATCCCGGGAACGAGCTTGGAGCAGTGGCTACTTTACAATACACATAGGGACCATGGGGAACAAAAGTAGCCACCCTCCAGAAGGAAGGAGAGTGTCGGCACCAATTCAGAGATGATTTAAGGGTCTAAGCTGAGTGATACACAAATAAGATACATTTTTGTTAATAGTTCAGGTACTTGAATGCATTTTTAAGATTTAACTCCGGAATTTCGTGTCAATTTTTGTTTGTTTCTGCCCTAGTGTGCAAGTATGTTGTGCACACTTGCACATTAGGACACACTTACCTTTAAAGTGTGCCCGTCTCCAGCACAGTCGGACTGATCTCTGATACTCAGCGCTGCTGCCACCACCTACACTTTCAGGTTCTCCGAAGTCCTCTTCAGCCATTGGGTAGCCATTTAATGAGGTAATTCCTGCACATTTGCACAGGAGTCGCATCCTCCCCGGGACCTGGCCCATTTATGGTATCGTAGATATAGTGGGGGGAATTTATCAAAACTGGAGCAGAAAAAATGTGGAGCAGATTTGCACTGCAGCCAATCAGCTTCTCTCTCTCTCATTTTCAAATCTTACCTGGGCAAACTGAAGATAGATGCTGATTGGTTGCCATGGGCAACTGCTCCAGATTCTGCTTGTTCCAGTTTTGATAAATCCCCCCAGTGTGTTTACATCCACCAGTTTACTTTCTTGCTTTAACTTCACCGTGGATTACATCTGGTAGATAACATCCAAGGTCACCATGTTTACATCAGAGTATACGCTGTATATGGTAGTAAGGATAGATCAGTGCACACTTTTCATTTAACTATATTAATATACTGTCTATTATCTGACCTGATAACCTTTTTCTGCTGTGAACGATTCTGCATGTACACAATGAGATCATTCATCTCCAGTGGGCTGCTCGTACATTCCCCAGCACAGCCCCCATAACACCTCTGATTGTGGAGGTGGGTACAGATGTGTTAGATGACCTCATACAGTGCTGGTTTTTCTTACGATTTACTGCACATACATACGTGAAATTTCTGTTTTCCATTAATGCCGTATTCTAGATAATGTGATGAAAAGGCACATGCTTTATTTTTTATATGAAATCCAAACTTCTCAGAGGCTTTTCAGTAGTGATAGATGCACATGAACTGCAGCATCCAATAACAGTTCAGATTCGACCAAATGGAAGTTCAACACCAAGGTGTTCTTTAATGTCATCATGGTTACTCAAAAATGCTGCTTGGGTAGCTGCTTCCAAGTTTTTGTGGGTTCACATGATACTTGTATAGCTTTCCTATCGTGCCCATGTCCCAGTTCTATCCTGCGCCTAGTCATCCTCAACTGTAAGCTGGCAACAGGTACAGGTACTGGTTAGGGGGAGAGGGAGTTTATCAAACTTTTAGGGCCCATTCACACCACTTCCAGACCACCTCCAGACCAGATTGTTTCTAGACCTAAAATGTATCCCAATGTTTCCCTGTGCTCTTTTTGGCCTCAGTTCACACCATCGCAGTCTGTTCCAGACCAGTGTTGGTTTGAAAGATCTTATCACCCCTGGACTTCCTACTTTGTGAAGATAGAAACCATGATGGCTGAAGTGGGCGCAATATAAGAACAATAATAGGAAGATGGACAAGTGGAGAGGCTTTGGTGCCCAGGTTGTCCCTAGCTAAGATCATTTGAGCAGCTCTGAAAAGTTCATGTCTCTTATGTGCAAGCATTGCGCTGCTCTTTTCCTGGCTATCTGTAGGTCTTGCAGAGGTCCCCCAGCAAGACCTAAAATAGAACGATTTAAAAATGCGACAAAACCGTGGCAAACCGCAACACAGTGCGTTCCAGATCTGGTCCAGAAAATGGTGTGAACCTGCTCTCACACCTTTCATCACTAGCCAGAACAAGAGGGGAGAGGGTAAAGAAGCACTCCAGATGGTATGGTTTATCTTTAAAGTATTACCCAAACAAAATCCCCTCTGCATTTGTTTGTGGTGGAACAGTATTTTGCAGGACCACAATGCTGCAACATCACTAAGGTGCAGTGTCATTTGAAAAAATCAACTTTCCTTTTGGCTCCTCTTGCTCTTCTGAATGCCATTGCTGGCATGTCTAATTCATGCCAGAATAAATGAGATCCTGCAGTCCTGGTCACCCTTGTAGTGTGGGTGGATTGTATATAAGCTACATCCATAAAAGAAACCATTGTAACAGATGCTGAGGATGCCAAAGTGCATGTACCCTCGTTCTTCCTAGGTATCTGGAGTGCATCATGTATCACCGACAAATAATTGATTTTTTGGTATATTCAGAATTGAGCAGATTCACAGTTCGAATTCTTTTCCGACAAACGAGGGCGCTCTTTGTACTTAAAGCAAAGTTTTCAGTACTTGTATCATCTTAATGTCCTTTCAAGATTTCCTTCACCAGATTCAAGTGATGTTTGCTTCAGAATGATACAAGTGCTAAAGTTTTATATGCAATGACCTGTGCCCTCCCAGTATCACGGTCTACATGTTTCTATGATGTAATGAAGCTGCTCGATAATTGCGCTCCAGACAAAACAGTGAGCTGAGAAGTGCTCACATTTGTTTATTTTGTTACTCACATGGCTGGGGCCCTGATCCATTCACTCAAGGCAGAGTGCATAGCAGTGATGTAGAGACCCGGAGATGCCCCGCCTGAACTGTTCTCTTCATTCTGAAAAGAAACATCATTATTATATAGTAGATTTTCTTTAGAGCTGGTGTCCTGCTGCTGCTATGTTATTAGGGCAGCATACAATTATTTCAAAGAGGGATCTGACATCTCAGGTTTCCTTTGAATTGGATTTCACTCTTTGTTTGTATAGATTTTCATAACTTGGCATGTGTATCTTCTTTCGGCAGAATGATGGTAGTTTAAAGCCTCATAGAATGTACTGACCTCATTAAACCTGACAGGGTCTTGTCAATAAATACTTAATCTGAAAAAGAATTGAGCTTGGCTCTGTATCTCTCTAAACTGGTCAGATGGCATAGCCCAGTCCAATTTTTATAAAAAAAAGGAAAAGGAACCCTTTGTGTGCATGTTTGCAGGGGGGGGGTGGCAGGGGGAGTGACTGTTTACTATTCTTTTTACTTTAGATAGATATGGAAGTACTCAGACAATAGGTGCTCTGTGTATGGATCCTGTGATGTATATGTATTTGTCAGTTAAGCTTACATTTTAATCCACAGTTTTTGGATTTCAGATGATAAAGGAAAATAAGACATGATAAGCAGTGATGTATTAAACATTGTACTTCACAGTATAGCCTAGTTAAAGGGAAGATATTGGTCATGTGGCTATTGCTTGCTGCAGATGAGGCTTCCATACATTGCCAGATGTTGCCATTGTCAAGCTTTATGGAAGCAGTGCCAGTTCTGGAGTAATTACTGCGGGTTAGGCTGAAGATGTGGGCTTTGCCCCAGTATTAGTACAACTTATAGCGATCTGATCATTGAAAAGTATGGTCCTGAAGGCAAGTCTGGCCTGTGACAGACAGACATCCTTATAGGCAGTGTGGAAGCTAGGCAATCTGTCACCCGGGGAAAAGGCTCAGAGTTGCTCCATCCACACACCCAGTGGTACCCCTCCTAAAGTGGCACCCGGGGCACGTGCCCCCTCACCCCCCCCCCCAGCTTATAGAATCTTGTCATTCAATAGCGCAGTCATCTGATGCGGTGCTGTTCATAGTGATACAAACAAGGATGCGTAATGCAGGTAATATAGATACATACAAGGTTTCTGGTGACAGGTACATATGGTTATATTGCAAAAACAAATACCTGGAGATCCCTTCCAATCAGAGCAGATAGTTCAGTTTGGATGGTAGGAGAGGAAACAGCTGAATTGGTGACAAACAAGAACCTTGGATAAGATTTCAGAAGTGAGTTTTAAGCATTTCAGGGTTTCAAGATTTGGAGTGTGTGGAACGGTACATGAGATGGAAGGGTATAGACAGTTCTGTGAGGAGTCGGAGATGGGTGTGTGAAGAGATAACTAGAGCAGAGAGTAAAAGATCATATAGATCAACCCAGCAACAGGGGGAAACAATCAATCCACCAGACTCAGGGAATCCTGTAGAACTCGGAGCAATCAGCATCCAGACTGACTACAGTCCAGACATAAACTAAATTTATTAGAGACATAGCAGAGGGCGCTACAAGTGCTAACTGTGTTCTGTAGTTTTACACAGGTTTATGCAGGCACAGCACCAAACTTAGTCAACCAATACAATGGCAGTGGTTTAAAATAAATCATTTTAATTCTAGATAAAAGACTTCCCTTTCCAGTGGGGAATTCTGTTTAAACTATGTAGTCATGTGTTCACCTAACTGAAATGTGTTAGCTGCATGATTGTTGTTAAAATAGTTTTGACTGGTTTTGTATAATGTAATGTATGGCAGAGTCTTGTGAGTCTAAAGCACAATTATATGGAATCTTTATAGATTCATAACTATACCCCCATAACTGGGCTGACAGCCTGGAGTCTAATTGTAAACCATAAAGAATTTTTCCTGAACCATAAAGGTCACAAGCATGGCTTCTGCTGGCTTTAAAAAACAAAGTTAACACATGTATGTGGAATGGTGTTCCCCAAGGTGTTCCTAAATGTAATTTCCTCTCCTGGGCAGTAATTAACAGCATTGTCTTTTTCTTGTAGGTGGGTGCGTGAGTTCTTGAATAATGAAAACAGGGGCCTGGATGTTTTGGTGGAGTATCTCTCATTTGCACAGTGCGCGGTTATGTAAGTACAGTCAGTGAATTTGTTTTCCTGAATGTATGTGGGAGAGCCATCACTAGACACCACAAGTAGGAAAATCTGTGCACAAAAAATGCTGATGATTATCCACTGTGAATTCTTGTGTCCTGATGCTGAAGTAGCAGCATGTGTTCCAAGTAACAGTTTCCGTCTGACATATGCTACTCAGTTTGTTGTCTGTTGGTGCCAGCCACTGCAGCTATTGCATATCTAGCAGGTTGGATACCATTTTTCCGCTGCTTTGTAGCTTTGCTTTATCCATTCCTCTGTCTTTCCCTTGGCCGCTCAAGCTTCTTTGTATCCCTTTGGTGTAGGTTTGATTTTGAGGGCCTGGAAAACGGGGAGGATGGCTTGGTTGAAAAGTCCAAACCCTGGAGCAGATCCATCGAGGATCTGCAGAGTCCCAACGCCCTCCATGCCCCTTTCGCCAACGGCCTCGCTCGCACTGCCCGCCAGTCTGTGCTCCGGTATGTATTTGTGTGCCCGCTCCTTGCCATTGTTCCTTGCAGCTATCCTGCCAAGATGCCGTGTTTGTGATTCTTACAGAACTATTCTTTTCATGATGGTGTTAAATTAAAAGGCTAGTAACACCTGGAAAGGCAAAGGGTCCATAGAAATACAATGAAGACTACATATGATGATTCTACATCAATATGTTATTATATGACTTTCCAGTATAGGTATACACCATATCATACTTGTTTTGTATACTTGCCACAGTTATAATAATAGTGAGCCACAAACAAACAGTGTTATCGATGAAAATAATGGCATATGATCTGCTTGTGTTTTTGCCTAATTTTTCTCATTATATTATCATAATTTACTGGACCAAAAAGTAATGTAATTTTCACAAATACAAATTTAGTAGTAAAAGGTGATTGTCACCTTTTATGATTCCTTTTATTTTTTGGGTGTTACTGCCATAAGTCAAATTTCTATATAATAATGCTGTGCTTTTCAAAGCTATCCACGATCAGGGAAAGCTACCTTTTTATCCATTTCATTGATTCATTCTGTTTTGCTACTAACGTATATACCAGTGTAGTCCTGGAGAATCAAATCTATATCTACTGTCCAAGTGATTGAGCCTGATAATTTGAGATATGCATAGCGTACTGCCTAAATCAACTATTTGTGTGTACTCATTGTCATCCAATAGCAGCTACAATACACTGCCAGGAAAGAAAGCGCTGAAAAACTCCAGATTGGTCAGCCAGAAGGACGATGTACATGTGTGCATCATGTGCCTCCGCGCCATTATGAATTACCAGGTATACATGTGGTGTGATCGATGTGATGATATAACATGCAGCCCAGGCTATCATTCATACTTTGGTTATCCTATGAATAGATTTGTGTGTATACAGTTTTTTGGATGTAGGCAGCTATGTATGTATATTAAAAATGTATACCCATCTACTTCTATCCAAAGAATATATACACACATGCATCTATTTATAAGATACCAAAATATGGATGGTGTTTTAGGTGTATGAAGAGTATACAATATATATGTGCATAATTTTTTCTCTTTTCTTCTCCTTCTCTTAGTATGGCTTCAATCTGGTCATGTCCCACCCTCATGCTGTCAATGAAATTGCCCTTAGTTTAAACAACAAGAATCCAAGGTATGTTTTTTTTATAAATGTAATCCTTATGTTCCTGTGTGTTACATGTAAGCATATAATACACTGGTATAAGCATATAATACACTGGTATATATTTATTTGGTCAGGCTGAAAAAAGACTCCATCTCCATTGAGTTCATCCTAGCTCTTACACAGTTCTACCTAACTATTCCATTTTCTACCTACCTATTACATTCAAATTGCACAAAGAATATCTGATTTCTTCGTTACATGATTTATTTCTTATTGAACAGAACTAAAGCTTTGGTCCTGGAATTATTGGCTGCAGTGTGTCTGGTCCGGGGAGGACATGAAATCATTCTGTCTGCTTTTGACAACTTCAAAGAGGTAGGCAATGATATTACATTAACCCAGTGGTCTGAGTCTTTTGTACTCCGTGACTAGAGCTCTACCCATAAATATTTCTGTATCCTCATATTCTCTGGTTAATTCTAGGTCTGCAAGGAGAAGCATCGTTTTGAGAAACTCATGGAATATTTTAGGAATGAAGACAGTAATATCGATTTCATGGTAGGTCAAACACCCAGTTGATGACTATAGTAATTATTATAGATTATGACTTGTCCTCTGTTGCTGATAAACAAACCTTTGCCTCCCACAGGTTGCATGTATGCAGTTCATTAACATTGTTGTCCATTCTGTGGAAGATATGAACTTTCGTGTTCACCTTCAGTTTGAGTTTACCAAGCTGGGCCTTGAAGAGTTCCTGGAGGTAAGGACAACATGTTTCTCAGAAGTGAACGTCTCGAATGCCTCTAATGTTTCATTGTGCCCTAACTTTGTGTGTTTTCATTCTCTGCAGAAATCTAAGCACACAGAAAGTGAAAAATTGCAGGTGCAAATTCAGGCCTATCTGGACAATGTGTTTGATGTAGGAGGTCTGCTAGAAGATGCAGAGACGAAGAATGTTGCACTCGAGAAAGTAGAGGAATTGGAGGAACATTTATCCCATGTACGTATGTAGCAGGTTTATACATGATGACCGTACAATACAATTTACATTACAATGCCAAAGGACTGAAAAACTTCTGAATATATGCAGAGTAAATACTGGTTAAAGCTGAACTCCAGCTAAATATATAGGAGATATACACTGAGTGGCCAGTTTATTATGACCACCTGACGCGTGTAGGCAAATTAGCTATAATTTCGCGCTGAAGTTGCTAGAGGGCCAGACCATTATAAATAGGGAAGCAGGTTGTTTACCACGACAGTAGAAGTGATTTTTTTCTGAAGATATGGGTAAACAACGCGATTTAACAGTCTTTGAATGTGGGATGATTGTTGGCGCGAGCCATGGAGTGAGTATCAGCAAAACAGTAGAATTCATTAAATGATCAAGAGCAGCTGTTGTTAAAGTGTTTAAAGACTGGACTGTCAGCCGAAAATCTGGGTCTGAACTAGGGATGCACAGATACTTTTTGAGTACCAGTGCAGATACTTGGCATTTTCACGAGAACTACCAGAGTTGCAACTGGGACCTGGCTCTGGCACTCCACCACTGTCCTGAAATCATTAGTCTGTATTGTTTTAGAAAAACTGTCACATGACAATAAACAAAAATGTATCAGTACTTGTACTTGTAAGTACTCAGCAAGTACCAGTACTCGTACTCGCAAAACTGGTATCTGCGCATCCCTTTATTTATAGTTATAAAAACAAAATCGTACATTAAAACAGAGATGTACAAATCCCAGGAGCTCCGTGTGCTCCTTACAGATGACAGCTGCCTCCTAATTTTTGAATTTTTCTCTAGTGTAGTCTTGGAGCTCAAAAGTATCGGTACATGTACTCGTACTTGTACCGAGTACTGTACTTGGTATCTGTGCAACCCTAGTCTGAACGTGCGAATTGTGGCCGTCAGCGACTAGTCAATGTTAGGGCAGAACGGAGAGAGTGGCAAGACTGGTACAAGACAACAGAAGGGCAACAGTGCAGTGTCAGATTCCTCGCATCACCTTTCAACATCTCGTGTAGTCACGAGGCAGCCCAACAAAGTCATCTCGTGGCCCAACGAAGTACTGATGGGATGTTCATAATAATCCGGCCACTCAGTGTATGTGAATTTACTTTTTTTCCTGCCAACATTTTTGTGATGCAACATCTATCTGATTTTATAAAGCTGATTAGTAAATGCTGCAAATGGCGAAATGCAGCCAATTATTTGCTGGCAAATTCCACATGTTTAAGTGTATGTGCATTGACCTCTTACCTAGTAAAGTTTTAGCAGAATGTTAGTACAGGCATTCTGAGGTGCTTGTACATACCTTATAGCTGTCTTCTAGGTAACTCTGCTATACAAACACTAACTTCAGTTAGGAGGCACTTTGGCCTGCTCCATCCTGTACCTTGCTATTAGACATAGGTCCAAGGTGGAAAGGAAGGCAAGGGTGGTAGGCACACAAAATGTTTACTTCCTAGCTGCGGTTAGTATATCGCCTAAGGTATCCTGGATCTTGTCTATGAAGACTGCTAAAGGTATGTAAGGGCAGCTCAGGGTGTCTGCATTTATATCCCAGTGGAACAGTGTGATAGTTTAGTTTTGATTCACTTTAATCCTTCAGACAGGCTCTACAGTCTGGCCGGATGCTAAAAAATTTCTCTAGTTTCCCCGCTCTTTCTCATTTCCATAGATGTGGAAATTGTTGACTAATAGAAAAATAAGGAATACAATGTTACCAATGTTATGCTTCTAATACAGGGTAAAAAAAAAAAGAAAAATCAAACATTTTTTTTAAACACTTATAGATCACGTTTACTAATAGCTGACATTTTAGTGGGATGTTATGGAAAAACACATAACCTTTAACTACATTGTGTCACCACAACCCCCAAACCTCTTGTACAGTATAAGCTGTTGGTGGCATTTCTTTCCACTTCCTCGTTTATCCAGTGCACAATGTAAATTTAGTCTGTTTTAGGAGTTCAATGCTGAAGTAAAGAGAACCATTTCTCAGTTTAGTTCAATTAAAATATGATGCATGAGAAGTCTCTAGTGGCAGTTGATACAATGTAACTACATTACATTGTCCTGCTGAGCACAAAGACTTTTTCTTATTCTGATTGATCACATCCTTGGGCACGCATTACTATCTGCCTTGTCTTCTCTGCCTCAATATAACAGGATCATTTTGGAGCAATTAAAGATTAGCTCATCTGTAATAATAATTTGCAGGTGAATTGTTGGAAGGGCAAATTACTTTTGGTCAACTTTATTAAAAAAAAATTGAAGATTATGACTTTGATGAGTTGATATTTTTTATCATATATAATCGATTTAAAATATTTTATAAATAAATAAGATGGGGTGCATCCATGACACAATTTGCAAAGCATGTTGGGCTTTCTAATAGACAGCCTAGCACTGCCGGTATGCTTGAACATATCATAGAGTAACAGACTAAGCCATATGATTACATCTTTGTTAGGAGAGAAGTAAGGGTATTGCCCTCTTTAGTGACTTCAGCTGGCCATACACTGTATGAATTTTGTTCTTTTGGCTCTCTACCATCCATAATCCTTCGATCAGGAATTGAAGGAGTTGGGTGGAAAATTTGGGGGCGAACAGTGATGGTAACCAGTTGACTTGGGTATTCTGACAGTGGCACATCTGCTGCATTCAGAATACAAAGGACACAGCGGGAGTTTTGTCAATCCATGCTGTTTAGCATGGATGGAGGAATCGGTTATATTTTTTGTTCAGCCCGTAGGTTAAACAAAAACCTAGCTTTACGCTATAGCCTTTGTAAGGACCTGTGTCAATGGGGAAATGCAGCATGCTTTTGACACTTTAAAGACCTGCATGTGGCCTGCATCAGGTGCTTTTGCATGCCCATAGCCTTGTATGGGGAAAGAAGCCGTTCGAATGTGAACAAAAACCTATAAACACTGGTCCTTAAACTGATCTCCCTACATAAGAGCTGTAAATCTACACCCAGAAAGCTCCAACTTTGTTGTGGAGCACACCGTGTTCTTTGTGCAAGTGGTAAATGTGTAATATTTATATTCAAAATGTCCTATTTACCTGATTAAAATTAAAATCGTTGATAAAAACCAAGAAAAATACATTAACTGCACAATACAGTTTCTAATGCCTAGTCACCTGGCTTCCTCTGGCTTTAATACTGCTAAATGACTAACTAGGAACAAGCATGAAACAAATGACAATTGAAGAAAAGTCACAATTCCTTAACAGTTTGCTTTTGTAAGCAGTTTAGGGATATAACCCCCTAAATATAAAAAGATATAGTCACCTCACCTATGCAGGACAAAGTGGCAGGGTCTTTGTAAAGGACCTGCCCCAGTTATACTCTCATTTCCAGTGCTCTTTTGTAACTCCTGCCTTCACTGCAGCTGGCACTGAAATCCAAGATGTCAGGCGCTAAGGGGAGTAACAATGTCACTCCATTGGCAGGAGTGGTAAGGGAGCACTGAGGAGTTTGACTGGTGTGAGGTGCCTCTTTAATCTGTCTAATATCTAAATGGGTATTAAAATATATTATTACTCTTCATCCGTTATTTAATCCACCATTTGTGATTTGGCTTAGGTGTTAAAATGAAGATACATTTTGTAATTCCTGAGATAAGAGTGACAGTTCTATTCTTGTACAAAAATGAAGGCACATACAAAGTCTTGAACTGTTGGTTAATTTCCCCCCAAAAACTTGTATGCCAGAGAAACAAACTGTATCAGCAAAGGTCACAAGTTAAACCACAACGCACATGAAACTGACAGAATATCATAGATTGCATCATGTTTCCTTCTTGGAGTATTTGCACGGGATTTTTAGGGATTTTCTTCAGTGCAGAAAGGAAAGAAACCAATCTCTGCATTCCTTTAACTTTTGATTGGTGATATTAGAGCAGATAGTTGCTGCTTGCTAGGACAATATCAGTAGGTACTTTTATTCTGAGCTGTACAATGATCTAATAACTGTAATTATGATTTTCTTCAAGATGACAGAAAAGCTGCTAGATCTGGAGAATGAGAACATGATGCGAGTGGCCGAGCTGGAAAAAACTCTGTTACAGAGGGAGAAGGAGCTGGACATAATTAGGGTGAGCTACAAGGAGACTGTGATACACCTAACTACATGGATGTGTATATAGAATATGTATGAGCAACCTATGAATCTTAATTTCCTGAAACACACTTCCAGCCCCAACTGGACAAGAGTGTTAAGGAGAGAGAATTTCTGTCAAACTGTTATTGCTGTCTCTGTCTTTCTAAAAGGAGAATTATGAGACAAGTGATTTTCACTCATCCTCATAATCTGATCCGACGTGTGACCATGAAACTGTCACAGGTCGGCTCAGTAGATCGGGAAGTGAGCGAACACATACCGTCGCTCGCTCACTTCTCGATCTATCCGTGCAGAGAGCCGTGACTGTCACTCACGGCTCCCTGTAGGGATTCCCCCCTCCCCTGTCCGATCCTCCAGCGCTGACTGGCGGAACGGACGGGGGAGGGGGCGGGTACAGCTGGCTTTGCCTCTAGATAGGCAGAGCCAGCTGTCACTCACGCAGCTGGGTGGATCCAGACAGAATTGTTGGGATCCGTTCCGGCTGTGGGGGCTCAGTATACCGCGAGTTGTAGCTCGTGGTATACTGAGCTTTGGGTGACGGGAGGACGCTAGTTTGTGTCCTCCGTTACCCTTAGGAGAACTATGGTGAAAAGCCCTGACCCCATAGTTCTCCTTTAAGGACATTTCCCATCACTTTTTGTACTGGAGATGCACTGAGATTGTCTGTCTGTCTGTCTGTCTGTCTGTCTGTCTGTCTATTATTGTCCCAGAGACCCCTGTCCCCTTTATTTCTTGTCCTGTTGCAACACTGCACTGCTCTATCCAGAATTGAAAAAATATATATTGGCTGACCCTGGCTTTAAGGGATGGTCCCTGTCAGCATCTTTCAGCCTGCAACCCTCCAGCTGTGAAGGATCTAGTTCAAGCAATCTGTATGAGCCAGTGGCTGCAGAGTATGCTGTAATCTGTTTCTCCTACCACAGCATTAGACTGCAGGTTGCTAGAACACGACCTAGAAATTCCTGGCCTTGAAATGACAGCGGTCATCCTTCATGGGTATATGTTTGCATAGAACGTCCAGTTCTTGCAGCCCCTGTGACTGGCATACCAACAACACATGGTTTCCGTATTGTGCTGGGCTCTGGACAACCCTGCACAGCCACATAGCCTTTACAAGCAGATGTTCTGTCCCAGTTCATTTGGGTGTTTTTCAAAATTTTTCTCATGCTTGTGGTATTTTTGCACTGGGGTAAATGAAAGTATCCAAGTGCTACTTCGGTCTTCCATATGTTTGTTTTTAAGCATTTGAGATTTGTTTTTGATAACCGTTCTCCTGCTGTAGAATCACTTTTTGTTTCTTAACCTCGAGGTTCTGTTTTTTTCACACATGACTTGTTGGGGTTTTCCCAGGATGCTGGAATATCCATGTACTGAACTCCTATTACTATTTACTTCATCTTACATCACATAAGTTTCCCCCATAAATAAATCTCATGCTTTCGTGAATTACCAAAAATACCCTTTCCCCATGCCGGCTATTTTATTACTTTTTTTTTCTCTTTTTATAAAAACGTTTTCGTTTTCAAATCCAGTTATTTTCTTGTCAGTTATTTAGAAAATTAGGGGAATGTTTTCTTTACCAATTCTTTACTCTTAGTATTGTATGTATGTATTAGGGATGCACCAATACTGTTTTTTCGATATGGAGTACAAGTACAGATAAAACATTTTTGGTACTCGCCGATACCAAATACCGATACCGGAAGTCCCATTAAGGAAGCCAGGAGGTGTGTAATGACTTGCCACTTCCTGATTAGCCGGAAAGCTGGCTCCATGCTCCCTTGTCACCAGGTAGCAAGGAGGCATGGAGCCAGCTTTCTGACCAATCGGGAACCTGGGCGGCGTGTAATGACTTACCACCCAGCTTCCTGCTTAGCCGGGTGACGAGGAAGCATGGAGTCGGCTTTCTGGCTAATCAGGGAGGGGGGCGGATAATGACTTGCCGCCTGGCTTCCTGATTGACCAGCTTTCCGACCAATCAGAGAGCCGGGCGGCGAATTCATTACCCGTGATTCGGCTTCATGATTGGCCGGGAAGCCAGCTCCATGCTCCCTGTTGACGAGGGGGCATGGAGCCAGCTTCCCGGCCAATCAGGAAGCCGTGAAGCATGTAATGACTCGCCGCCCAGCTTCCTGATATCGGAAGTTCCGTTATCGGGATATGTATTATAAGCATTTGGGCAAGTACTTGTACTCGCCCAAATACTCAGTATCGGCATTCATACTAGTATCGATATCATTGCATCCCTAGTATGTATGTATGTCTGCCCTATTTGTTTACATCTTGCTAAAAAATATTTAAATTTTAAATTGAAATTACTAACACTTTCAGTATTAGGATATTTTCTTAATTGTACAGTACGGGACACAGGAAGATTCAGAGAGGACTGGGTAATATGTAGGTATCTCCAGGTGATTGGACGCTGCCCAGAGCTATGAGGACCTTCATATTACCCCATATAGGCACTGCACAAACTGTTGGCACTATATAAATCCTGAATAATAATAATATAACCCCTCCCGCTCCAAGAAATGCTCAGTTTCTTCACGGTGTACTTGAAGGTGGGGTTTTCCCCTTGTTTTCTGTTATATGGGCCCGTTAGTTGTTTTGCTGTGTTGGCCACCCATCTGTTCTGTGCTTGGGGTTATCCCAGTCAATTCTGAAGCTGCCTGTGTCCTCTACTGTATGATTAAGAAAATATAGAGTAAAAAATTCTATTTTGTGCCATTGTGAGTGATTCTTTCTTGAAGCATTTTTTCTGTCTGGCCCCTCTCTCCCTTGGCAGTAAGGGGCTGAGGTTGGGAGATTTTTATGATAAGACAGAGTATAAGCAGCACTTCTTTGTAAGGAGATCATGGTCAAATGTCAGTGATCAACTTTAGAGGGTCAATATGGCCACAGTAAGTGTACAATACATGTAAACCTCAACACCTCCATGCGCATACTTGTGCACATTTCAGCATTTTCCCTAGACAATAATGTTTACACTGATGCACTAAAGAAGATTTGTATCCTTGTCCCCGAAAGCTTATGTCTCTTTGACTAGTAGATCTTAAAAGGTAAGTCCACCCAAAACAGTTTTTTTAGTTGTTTGGTAGATGTTGGAGAGTCGTAGGGACTCCATTGGTGAGATGTTTGTGCTTGTTCCAGGCTCTGCACTCCTGTTGCCCATTATTACTGTCTTCCTTGTGGGAATTTGTTTTTTAAAACTATATCATTGGGGATGTAACAAAAAGTTTTGCTGCACACAAAAGTGGGCCGAAGTGCCCAACATTTCGAGGTGGACAGGAGTGTCTGGAATTATGGCAGTAACATCTCACTTTTGAGTAGTCAAGAAATACAAGATCCCAGGGCTTGACCCAGCCCACCAAGCGTCACCTACCTAAGGGAATTCACTTATTTTGCACTGTCATGGCACTTTGCATTTTTCTTGTTTTGACTGAAAGCATTCTTAAGTTTACTTAGGTTCCTGTTTTTAAAAACCATTTAATAAAAGTTACTAAAATAAAATCAAGGTCCCCAGATTAAAATTTCTCCTACACTGCATGAACAGTAGTTGGACTTGCTGCTGTTCCTGCAATATTTCACACTATAATATGTCACATATGTAACAGTGTTCACACAGTATATTTAAATGGACAAAATGTTCAGCATACTTTACTGACTACTTGTATACCTTTTTTATGTTTGCGTTGCAGCAGAAAATAAATCCATTGTTTAGATTTGCCATTTAGTTGTGCGACATCCCTTTCTTGGATACTGCTACGTTTGTAATGGTGTTGGGACCTGTTTTGATGCTTGGAAATTCTGTTTTTTCCACCTGTCTCTTCCTGGCATGGCCCTATGTTGAAATACTATATATAGCAGAGCCCCCCCTTTTTTCCGAATCATTGGCATTTTTTTGGTTTGCTGATTCATTTCCCTCCCTCTGTATCTCCAGGAAACGTATGAGAACACAAGTCATCAGGTGAACACGCTAAGGAGAATCATCAAAGAAAAGGAGGAAGCATTTCTACAGCTTCGCCAGCTGGAGCAAGCTAATGCTTTACAGCAGCAGAAGCATGGGTCTGCTGGGACCATCCCTTCCTCATTTGCTGGCCTACCTGCAGACCTTTCCTTAATTGCAGACTTTCCACCACCTCCACCCCCACCACCACCTGCACCAGCACCTATACCTGCAGCACCACCTCCAC